ACTGTAATGAATTTCATACTTAATCATTTTCTCCCCTCCCATAAAAATGGCCAAAAAGCAGGGGATGATAGTAATTATAGAGAAAAAGATAGAGGGGATTTCCCAAATTACGATGATTCATATGTGATTTTATCTAGCCAAAATAGGATTCCTGAGGTATTTAGAAACTAGTTGGGAAGAAAGGATATATACCCTGAAAAAGTAAAAAATAATAAATGTTTATAACCATGAACAAAAATAGAAGAGGATATTTCATGAGATAGCACATGCTTAATTGTCAATGGAAAATTATTATAAAAGTTAAACAATAGTAAAAATAGCAAAAAGAGATTTTGTAGTATTCCATTGTATGCATAAATCACATTTTGTTAATGGATTTTTGGGTTATTTCCATTTTGGGGCTATTAAACTGTTGCTAATGAATATTTGTGTATAAGTTTTAGATGGACATATGTTTTCATTTCTCTTGGATACATAGTCAGGAGTGAAATTGCTGGGTCATATGGTAAGTTTAACATTTTAAGAAACTGCCAAACTGTTTTCCAAAGTGGTTGTACTATTTTACAGTCCTGTCAGCAACATACAGGGGTTTCAGTTTTCCCACATCCTTGTTAGTCTTGTTGATTGTAGCTATTTCTGTGGGTAAGTGGTGTCTCATTGTGATTTCAATTTCCATTTCCCTAAGGACTACTCACGTTGAGCATTTTCCATATGATTATTAGCCCGTTTGTACGTTGTCTTTGGTGAAATGTCTATTCAAGTCTTTGCCCATTTTGTAATTGGATTGTTTGTCTTTTTATTATTCAGTTGTAAGAGTTCTTTATATGTTCTGGACACAAGTTCTTTTCTTCTTTTTTTAGTTTATTTTTTTATTTCAGCTTTATTAAAGTATAATTGATGTATAAAATTGTAAGATATTTATAGTATACATTGTGGTGATGTGATATATGTATACATGGTGAAAGAATTCCCCCCATCTAGTTAATTAACCTCACATACTTATCTTTGTGTGTGTGTGTGTTTGTGTGTGAGAACATTTAAATTCTACTCTCTTAGGAAATTTCAGTTATACAGTACAGTGTTATCACCTCTAGTCACCATGTTTTACATTAGATCATCAGACCTTATTCATCTTACAGCTGAAAGTTTGTACCCTTTTACCAACCTCTCTATATATCCCCCAACCCCCAGCCTCTGGCAACCACTTTTCTTCTCCCTGGTTTCTATGAGTTTGACTTTTTTTTTTAGATTCCACATATAACTGATACCATGCAGTATTTGTCTTTCTCTGTCTGGCTTATTTCATTTAGCATAATGCCCTCAAGGTCCATCTGTGTTGTCACAAACAGCAGGATTTCCTCTCTCTCTTGGCTGAATGATATTCCATTGTATGTATACAATGTATACATCTTCTTTATACGTATACATCTTCTTTATATGTATACCTTATATTACATCTTCAAGATGTATGTATACATCTTCTTTATCCATTCATCTGTTGACAGACATTTAGGTTGTTTCCACATTTGGTTATTGTGAATAATGCTGCAATGAACATGGGAGTATAGATATCTCTTCAAGATCCTATTTTCATTTTCTTTGGATATATAACCAGAAGTGGAATAGCTGGATCGTATGGTAGTTTTATTTTTAATTTTTTGAGGAACCTCCATACTGTTTTCCATAGTGGCTGCACCAATTTTACATTCCTACCAACAGTGCATATGGGTTCCCCCTTCTCCGTGTTCTTACCAACACTTGTCATCTCTTGTCTTTTGATGATAACCATCTTAACAAGTGTGAGGTGATTTCTCATTGTGGTTTTGATTTGCATTTCCCTGATGATTCGTGATGCTGAGCACCTTTTCATATACCTGTTGGCCATGTGTATGTCTTCTTTGGAAAAAGGTCTATTCAGTGCCTCTGCTCATTTTTTAATGGGATTGTTTGTTTTACTGCTATTGAGTTGTATGACTTTTGGCTGTTAACCCCTTATCAGATATATGATTTACAAATATTTTCTCTCATTCAATAGGTTCCTTTTCATTTTGTTGATGGTGTTCTTTGCTTTTGGTTTTTTGTTTTGTTTTGTTTTTTGTTTTTGCTGTGTTGCCTTTGCTTCTGGTGTCAAATCCAAAAATTCCTTGCCAAGACCTACGAGTTCTTTTTCAGATATAATTTGCAAATATTTTTTCCCAGTCTCTGGCTTATCGTTTTATTTTTCTTAGTGATGTCTTTTTTATAATAGTTTTATTGAGATAAATTTACATACCATGCAATTCACCCCTTTAAAATGTGCGATTCAGTTGTTTTTAATATATTCACAGAGTTTTGCACCTGTCACCACAATTAATTTTAGAACATTTCATCACCCCCCAAAAGAACCCCATACTCACTCCTCATTCTTCCCAAGACCCCCACCCAGACAACCGCTGCTCTATTTTCTGTCTCTATGGATTTGCCTATTCTGGACATTTCATAGAAATGAAATCAAACAATATGTGGTCTTTTGTAACTGGCTTCTTTCACTTAGCATGATATTTTTAAGGTTTATCCATCTCTTAGCATGTATCAGTACTTCATTCCTTTTTATTGCCAAATCACATTCCATTGTAAGAATATACCACATTTTATTAAAATTATTCATCAGTTGACGGACATTTGGACAGTTTCCACTGGTTGGTTATTGTGTATAATGCTGCCATGAACACTTATGTACGAATTTTGGCGTGGACAAATGTTTTCATTTCACTCGGGTATATACGTAGGAGTGGAGTGCTGGGTCATACGGTACTCAATGCTTCACCTTTTGAGGAGCTGCCAGACTGTTTTCTAAAGCAGCTGCACCATTTTACATTCCTACCAATAGCTTATGAGGGTTTCAGTTTCTCCACATCCTTGTCAACAGTTGTTCCTATCTGTCTTTTTTTATTATAGTCACCCTAATGCATGTAAAGTGGTATCACATTGTGGTTTTGATTTGTATTTCCCTTAATGACTGATAATGTGGAGCATCTTTTCATGTGCTTATTGGACATTTGTATATCTTCTCTAGAGAAATGTCTATTCAGATCCTTTGCCCATTTTTAAATTAGGTTACTTGTTCTTTTATTATTGAGTGTAAGAGTTCTTCATATATTCTAGATACAAGTCCCTTATCAGATATAGGATTTGCAAAAATTTATCCTCATTCTGTGAGTTGTCTTTTCACTTTTTTAAATGTGCCCTTTGAAAAAAGTTTTTAATTTTGATGAAGTCTAATTTATTTATTTTGTAGCTTATGCTTTTTTGTGTCATATCTAAAACTTCATTGCCTAATTCAAAGTCATAAAGCTTTTCTCCTATGTTTTCTTCTAAGAGTTTTATAATTTTATTTCATATTTTTATTATGATCCATTTTTAGTTTTTGTATGTAATGTGAAGTAAGCGTCTAAGTTCATATTTATTTGTATCATGGAAAAATCTCAAAAAATATACTAAGTGATAAAAGAAATTATAAAATATGATACAGTATGATACATTCATGCAAAATTTAAAAGCATGAAATATTTATTATTCATAGTTACATATGTGCACATAAATAAAAAGTTTCACACCAAAATCTTTGATAATGTTTGCCTCTAAAGGGATAAGAGGAGGAGGGGACTGAAAATAGAAAGAATTGATGGGCAGAGGGGTCTTCAGAATTATCTGCAATGTTTTTAGGTTGAAATAAATCTGACACAATATTAACAATTATCAATTTGAGGTGGTTTATAAGTATATGTTATACTTTTTAGCTTTCTATATTTTTTAAATTTCTGAAGTTAAAATACACACATGATTCAAAGTAAGAACCATGGAGAACAAGCCATTTATGTTCTGTTCACACTCACGTTGGCTGAGGCATCGAGGTGAGGCTTTGAGCATACAGCCTGTCAGCCTGTTCGGGGCAGATCCTCTTTGTATGTGGAGTCCCTGAGCTAGATCCCAGAAAGATCATTATCTTCGTGTGAGCTCATTCTCGCACTGTGGCTTATATTTTCCCAGTTTTGCTTCCACAGAAAACCCCAGTCTGTATGCCACACTCAGTTTCTCTTGCTCAGAAGAGCAGCAGGGCCCAAATGTCAGTGAGCTCCCTTTAAGTAGAGTTTTTAAATTTTCCCCCATTGCTCCACGCTTTCTCCAAAACTATACCAGAGCCTTCACGAGGAAAGTTCAATTTCTACTAGGCATGTGTCCATTCTCACCTGGGCCCCTAGGGATGGCCCACAGAAGACCTCTCTATGTGTGTTTTACAAGTACAGGGTGATGGGCCGGATGACCTGGCCCCTGGGGAGCAGCCTGCAGCTCAGCTCCTGACACACAAACTCAGGCGCGGGTTCCACGTGGTCTGGGAGCTCCAGAGGTGCAGAGTACGTGGCATTGCCCTCTGAGTAGAAGGAGTTACTCCAACATCTCCCGCTGACAACCTGTGTAGCCTGACACAACACTCGGACTCTTTCATCCTTGTTTTTCTTCTCTAAAATGGAAACAAAAATATATCCCCTTTCCACTCACGAGTTGTTGTGAGGATCAAATGAAATAATGTCCATGAATGAGTTTGCAAACAAAAATGAAAGACGTTTGTGTATTATTTCCTGACTGTGTGACCCCAAGCCCTCTCACATCTTGGACCCAGCGACTCTGCTCCATCTGTCTACTTGAAAGGCCTCTACCCCTCTGTGCTAGCGTCTGCTTTCCCTCTCACTTTAGTCCCTTCTTAACAGTGTTCTCTGTCCCTTCTCTCCCTCCTTCCCCTTCATTCTCTCCCCCTCTCCCTTTCTTTTTTCCTTTATTTCCTCTCTCCAGTCTTGGAGGCAGCCTGACTCCTTCCTCTCAAATGTGGTCGTGCAGTGCATTGCACCACTGAACCGAAGCCCTGTTGGCTGGCTCAGATTGACTGAGAAAAAGGACTTTTCCCTTTCTTCAAAGAGGTAAGATACCTGAGATAACACATTTTATCTCTTTGACTTTCCCAGGCTCAGGCCACAGGATCGCCACATACATCGCCCACTCATGGAGGCGGCCACTCAATGCCCATGCCCGTCCGCTCAACATCTGCAGGCTCCACCCCCACCCACTGTCCACAGGACCCACTCAGCGGAGTCGGGGGAGACATGCAGGAGGCCTTTGCACAAGGTGAGTTTCAGGAGCAGAGTATAATGGAGAGCTGAAGGGGTTTGGGAACATGGACAAGATTCCTACTGAGATTTTTCCAGTTTCTTTTGTGCACTTAGCTTTAAATGATCAGATTTTCGTATACAATATAAATAAGTCAAGTGCTGGCCCCTTCTATGTAGATGGGCTGGTCTCCAATGGGAGGTCTGCAGGCTTTGTCTGTGTGCAAAGAACAGGCCTTCTGGGCTTCTGTGCTCTTTTTTTCTGGGTTGTGGGAAGTGCTTTGTCCTTTGGGCTTTGCCTCCTCCAGAGGAAGTGGTTGGTATAATTCCTAAAGTCAGGTACTTGGCCTAGAAAGTCTTTAGAGCAAGCAAGAGAAAGAAAAGTGGAACTCTAAGTAGAGTCTTGCTGAAGGCACATTCAGTATGGGATTGCCACAATTGTCTGGGGAGCTAGCAACCAGCCATGTTACATAGTTAGGGGGAGACGAGGTGGTTAAGGAAGTCATGTTAGGGTGGAGACAAAGAACACAGAGGTGGTGGTGCTGGAGAGTAACGTCCTGCCTAACGCTGAGGAGCGCCTTGGAGCAATGCTTGTTCTGGAACCCAACTCTTGATTGTATGGCAGCTAAGAAGCATGGAGTTGACAGGGTCCTGCTCTTCAGGTAGAGACGAAGAGAGAAGAGAACAATGGATGTGGGTACCTCGTGCTCCTGATGTGCCCGGCAGCGGGTGTCCCCATCCCCCCTTAGGTTTTCTGCCCTTGTCCAAGGGCCTGGCAAACTGAGGCGTTTGCTCGGCTCTCTCTTCTCCACGCCCACCCACCTGGCATTGCCGTCTGCTCTGACTCTCCTCAGGTACGAGGAGAAACCTCCGCAATGACCTGCTGGTGGCCGCTGACTCCATCACCAACACCATGTCATCCCTGGTGAAGGAGCTCCACTCAGGTGAAGTCCAGAGCTCCCCACCCCTCACCGGCCTCACATCTCCCCTTCCATACCCATGCCCCCTCACTTCTTCTCCACGTGGTAAAATGTCATCACGTAGCACACACCTTACTTCACCACTCAATCTTTTTGCCTTCTAGGAACACACTGGATGTCTTCTCCCAGAGAGCCTGTCTCCCACGTGTGATCACGTAGAGATAATTACACATTTAGGTTTATCTTAAGAATATGCCTTGTGGAGCAAACATAATTCAGAATTTAAAGACATTCAGATCTTTAAGTACAGTTAGGCCCCTTCATCACTCCTAATTTACCTTCCCACTGCACTCCATCCACAGCTGCTCTTTTCTAGGCCTGACCAACTGCCTTATTCTGAAGCTTTCCTGGATGACTGGAACCGAATCAGCCACAAAAGCTTCTGGACTTTCTCCCAGCTGCCTGTCTGCTCTCTCCTATTTGATTTGGTTTTGAAACTCTGTTCCCTCTTTTTGTCCTTGCTGAGGTTCTGATTTCACTTGAAGTTCGTGACCTGAGTCTGTTGCTTCCTTCACTCCTCATGTTCAGTCTAATCTGTTTCTTCTTTCTCAGTCTCTCCATCCCTTAGCTATTTCAGTGATTTTCCAGAGACCCTTACCTCATGGCGTTTTTCCCCTTACATAAAACCCAGGAAAGAGAAAAAATAGAAGGCCATTGATATATCTTCATATCTTCAAGAATCCCCATGACTACATCAGTCATGTAGCTGCCAGATAGTTACTAATTTTTTTTTTTTACAGTGGTTGGATTCACATGTTTTATCTTAAACAAACAGATTCCTTTCCTAAGTGCTTTGGGTCAGTCATACAGATGGCCCTCTTTTTTTCTTTTCACCTAATGTAGTGCTTTTAAATACTTTACAGTAGCTTAACAAGGTTATTAAATAAAAATATAAAACAGTTTTTCCATGGACTATTGAAACCCCTACACTTATTCAGACACATACATTGAAATCATCGGTCCATACTCTTAGGGAAGGCAAGCCTTGAGTATTTCTTCAGACCTTTGTAGGAGAAAGCATACGCCTTTAGTGTTGTCATGGGACCAGACCAAAGTCTGGCCCACGGCTTCAGTCTCAAATCTCCCTGTTTTCATTTACAAGAGAACAAGTGTGTTGCCCAGGTTGGGTTTTCCAATGCAGTTAAGATAAGGTGCTGATTCTCCCGCACAGAGAACGTTACAGCGACACTGTCTCCATTCTGGTACCATTTCTCAATCCCTGTCAGAAGCACTGCCCCCCTCCATGCACACACATAAGCAGAAGAGGTGACTGCCTTTGAGATGATTTCATAGGTGATTAGAAAGTCCCTTCCCTAATATAGCTCCCCACGGATGCCAGAAATCCCACTTTTAGAGAGAATTTCTTAGGGGATTTCAGACCATGGCAATTAACCACACTTGTGCCTCAGGGCCACTTTTTAGGGTTTATGCAAAATAAGTGATTCATGAGCTCGTCACACTAGGATGAGGGGTAATTGGACATCATTAAACATAAAACACGTAAAGACCAAATAGCTTCACAAGAACTAAAAGTTTATGGGGATACTCTGCAATCTCCCATAGCAGGAAAGGATGGTTTTAACAAAATTATGTAACGTAATTTGGAAGGCACCTTAGCAATCATGTTGTCCAGTCAGTCCCCTTACTTTAGAAATGCAGTGAGTGATTATCAGAAAAGTGATTTGCCTAAAGTTGTGCAGCTTGAAGGAGCAAAGCTGGTCCTAGTACTCAGGTCTTAAGAACATGAACCCAGTGCTCGCACCACCGCACTGCCCTTATCCCCCACAGGACAAGCTGTCAACTCCGCTGTCCCACGAGGGCCCCTTACACTGAAGCTCTACTCTCTCAAGCCCCTGAAGCCCATAGGTAGATGTGGACTAAGTCCACATGTGGCACAGTATCCCTGTAAAATGCAGAAATAAACTCCCTTTATGTGCCTGGCTGCCAGTTTCTCAGTGACTGGAGGAGGCTTGCCCAACACCAACACATTTTTACTGTCACTATCGAGGTTTTTGTTAGGGTGAGATTAGATATTCAGATTGTCTTTACATGTGTTTTATACAGTGTGGACATACTATTTATATCCATTATATCCATAGCTTGACCTCCTCATCTTCTTTGAAATATTTTCACAAATAATGGAATCTTAGAGTTGGAAAGTCATTTAATCCAGCTTGCCACCCAATATAAAAGTCCTGTTTAAATATTTCCACTGAGCTCGTTCATGACCAGCTCGAATCACTGGGAAGCTCTTCCTTATCAAAGAGCCACAATCTACCTTTCTGTAACCAATTTATCCTTGTTCCACTCTCTAAGTCTTCCCAGAGTAAGTTCAGTCCCTCCTCTTCATGTTAGCCTTTTAGGTATTGGACAGCTGGGAGTGTGGCTAACCCCAAGCCTTTTCCTCTGTAGGCTAACTATTGGCAATTCCTTTAGCCATTCCTCATGTGACCTGGTTTTCACTGTCCTCCTGCCCACCCACACCGGGATGTGCCCAAGTGTTTCAAGGCCCCAGTTTTCAAAGTGGGTTCCCGGAGCTCAGCACACTTCTCCCTGCATAGCACAGTGAACTTGACCTCCCTGAGCTGGCCCCTGGGGAAGCAACCTTAGATGGCATTAGCTTCTTTCCACACAGCCACTTTGCACTGTTCAATCATTTTAAGTTTGTTGTCAGCTAAAACCTATAGATTTTTTTTTTTTTTTTTTTTTACGGAAGCCAGTGTTAAGCTAGGTGTTCCCCACTGTGTACTTTGATGATTGCATTCTTTAGCCTAAATGCAAGATATTAACTATATCCTTAGTAAACATTGTCACCTCAGGGAAAACAGGTGTAGAGAAGAGGCAGCCCCCCCAGCCCGTTCACCAGAGAAGGCAGTGACAGAGCCAACAGCAGGGTGGGTGACATCAGACTGCTCTGCTTCTGTGGGCTTGGGGCTTATGGGCAGCTTTTTTTCAGCACTGCTGGGGCGTGGACACACAGGGTGCAGACTAGGTGTGTATAAGCACCCTTGGAGGCCTGCAGCCATGAGCCTTTAGCTAGGGCTGCATCCCAAGCCTCCTAGGTTACTCCCTTCACCCTCCTTCTATGCTTGCACTGTGTTGAAGGGTCACTGGCCTCCTTGGACTTGTTTTCACAGCAGAGGAAGGTGCAGAGGAAGAAGAAGAGAAGATGCAGATTGGGAAAGACAGAGGTAAAGGCAGCTCAACAGAACCCCAGTCTGGATGGGAGCAGAGCTACATAGCCCCTGAATGAGACCCCTCTCCCTTTCGTTTCTACTTTCCTGCCTGCTGCCACCTTTCCCCAAAGCTTTCAGACCCCACAGTCCTTCCACCTGAGTCCTCCCGCCCCCCAACTGACCATCAAGTTTTCCCTAGAGACGATAGTGTCAGTCGATCAACAAAAGCTTCCTGACATCCTGATACTGCAATAGATGGTTGGGATACAGGAAGTAGATACAGGGGAAACACAAATCATGCCCCCTCGCCTCAAGGAGTTTATAATGTAGTTAGGAAAGCAAGACCAAGATATGCAAAATAAATAAGAGAGGAAATGAAGTGGCAGGAAAAGTTAATCATCAAACTTTGAGGGTAGGATTATAAATACAAGAAGCATTGCTGAAAAGGAAGAGATTATTGTGGGCAGAATAGCCGAATGGTTTTGTGGCTTCATGGAAGAATTAAGAGCGATAAAGGTATCAGCAAAGGACAGCAATGCCTTCCTGGTTTTATTGTAAATAAAACCTACTTAGTAACTTGTACAAAGAGCTGTGCTAAATGATTTCCATGTGTAATCTCGTTTAATCCTCAACAACCCTGTGAGATGTATAGTAATATCCCCATTTTACCGATGAGGAAATAGGCTCGGAGAAATGTAGATCATGTAGCTATTAAGTGGCAGAGATTGGATTTGAACTGGGTCTTTCTGCCTCCAGACTTCATGCTCTTAATCTTCATGTTTCTATGTTATATTGAACAGATAAAATTCTCCTTGAGAGTTAGCTCTTATTTCTATGACATATTAATATGTCTATTACCAGATTCCTCCAAAATGTAAGCTCCCCAAGGCGGAGATTTTGGTCTGTTTTGTTCAGGTTGTATCCCCAGTGCCTAGAACAGTGCCTGGCACATAGTGGGATGTCAGTAAATTAAAAAATATAAGGAAACAAACAGGGTGAGGAACATTTTGTCGGGGAGACGGAATGGTGCCCTGAGGAGGCTAAGGCATGGAAGACGAGAAGGAGCTGGTACCAGCTCTCTCAGGTCCCTGTTGGATGCCCTGCAGTTCACACACCCTTCCTGTTTGATTTCACAGCCCCAGGAGGGGAGGATTCTAGACAGGGCTCAGAGTGGTGAAATAACTTGCACAGGGAGTAAGTAGCAGAGCCTGGTTTCCACCCAGGTATCTCTAACTCCAACGCCGAAACTTTGGTCTGAGCTGACTAGCAGACCATGTGAAGTGAGAAAAGTCTTAAGGAAAGGCGGAAGGAAGTTGAGAGGGAGATACAGGCAGGGAAGCTGCAATGGGAAAGGGGAAGCGCCTTGGGATGGGGGTCTGCAGCGTTGTTTGCCCATAGAAGGTAGTGTAGACAAGAGAGGGAGGGCTTTGGAGTTTGTCAGCAAGGACACTAAAATTGCCAAGGAAGAAAGTGGGAGAAAATTAAAAGCATACTCCAGGTACTGAAATCATCTAATGAGTCAGAGCGAGGCCTGGGAGAAAGTGGACAATGGCTATGATGAACTGGTGAAAATGACATATTTGGCATGGACATCAAAAGGTCAGAAGTAGAGGGCAGCAGTGTTTGAAACGTCTAGAAATGCTACAAAGAAATGTGGAGAAGACTGATTTCCTCGTGCGCATAGGGGACTAGGAAGAAGGCAGGAGGGTTGTAGTGCAAGAGGTGAAGAGGAGATACACAAAGATAAATTTACGCTTATGTATACACACGCTCCAAACACAGGCACACACGCACACCCACAGTCCACCCAGATCCTGGCATTCATGTGGAATGTTCTTGGCTGAAGACGTAACAGCTGCTGCTTTGGCCTCTCTTCCCATATGCCCTCCCTTCCCCAATAGCTCTCCCTATGGCCTCTGCTCAGTCTCCCTCCACTCCCCCGACGCACAGAGGACTCTGCCCGATCGCTTGGGCCTGGCCCTGACCATGGACTCCAGCGCTTAGTCCAGGTTCGAGTCTGGATGTGGCCCCGTCCCACCTGCAGACTGGGTCTGCTTTCCCTTGCCTGGTGCCTCCTGGCCTCAGGGGCCCTCTGTCTCTGCACCTGCGCTGCCCTGTCAGCGCCTGTTCTTTCTGTCCCTCTTGCTCTTAGTATCTCCTCCTCTCTCTTTCAGTGCATATACCAGAGTTTCTGTATGTCTATGTGAAATCTTTTTGCGAGAATGCCTGAATTTCTATTTCTGTGGCTTTTAGGTATTACCCTGAGAAGAGTGTTAAGAGTTGGGGTGAGAGATGGGTAGGGTTTCAAAAAAATATTTGACTCTCAACATTGTATATAGATCCTAGAATACGTCCTTGTAGCTAAAATGTAGCTGTTATGCAGATGTGGTTATAAAATCAAGTGTTTTTATGGATGGACCTTCTGATTCTCTGGGTGATCTGGGCATGAGATTTCACTATAGACTGACATTTGCAGTAACTAGTGTCACCTAGGCATTAGAGAGCAATTACTCTCAACCATAAAGGGAGAGAGAAGATTTGCTTCTTTGGATTGAAATCATGCTGATGTAATATAAACATAACCTGGTCAGCACCCTGTCAGGCACACACAGTCTGCTCAATGCCAAATCCCTGAGAGCCAAATGGACACTTTCAAACAATTCATGACCGAGCTGGACTTCCCAGCAACATTCACCCCTGCCTCAGGCCTCTCCCTGCCCTACCCTGGCTCTCTGTCTGGCTGCATCCTGGGGAAAGCTTCTGCTCCATGGGGGTCCCCTTGCTACTTTGCATCCCCTCACCTCTCGCCTTGAGTGGTGAGTACTTGTAACCAAGACTACACAGATGAAACATAGATGTCCCTGGATTGTTTCAGAGCCCTAGATTTGTCTCAGCCACTCCAGAGCCTCATTTTATGCTCCTGTGTCCTTCAGAATTGCCTCTCCCAGAACCTGCCATCAGTGTTGGGAGCTGTAAATCCAGTTTGCACACTTAAAGGACGCTGCTGTGTGTCTGGTAGACTGACACAGGGGCACTCTGTGAGAACAGACACAGGCTTTTGAGGGTCCAGGCAGTATTCGAGATTCCAGAGTGAGCCGAGAGTATGATTGGGCATTGCCAAGCAGATAAATGTGCAGGAAAGAAATACTGCCCTTCTCAAAGTATAGTTCACTTTCACCTTGTTCACTTTCAGAACCGGATGGGCTGTGCCCCTGATGTCACTGCTCCCTGGATTTCAGGTGGCTTCATTTCCATTTCAGTGTTGTTATTTTCCTTCTCCTGAGAGGCCCTTGTCTCCATGGCTGTTTCATGTCAGTTGCGGCTGCTGGTAGTAGGTGGCAGGACTCTCCCCGTTTTCACACCTGGTCGGGGAAGTCGACCTATGGAGAACAGAGGGGAGAGGCGAGTGCAGAAGCCCATGGGTGCGTGGGTCAGGGAGGCCCCGGGAGAAGATTGAAGGTGGTGAGAAGACCCTGCGTGTGACCTCGGTGTGTTGTTTGTGTCCGTGCTGCACAGGTTAGCGGAGGAGCCAGGACAGAGAGGAAGCGCGGTGAGTAGAGTGTTCTCTGCCCTCCCCACTGCCCCCTTCCCTCCTCTCTTCTTCAGTCACACTTCCCAAGCCAGAACCATCCTAACAAGGGGCGATCCAAGTTAGGGTTTACTTTAAAGAGCCCAGCTGCACCTTTTCCCTCTGCCCAGCCGGCCAGCATACCCGCTTGGCCTGGTTTCCAGGCGCTGACCTGTCTTGCACTGAGCTGGGCCTGGGCCCCAGGCAGCGCTTGGTGTCACCTGTGTCTGGATGCAGTCGGCAGACCAGACTCTGCTGGCTGAAACAGGCTCTGGGAACAGGCGTCAGAGGTCTGCTGAGAGCCGCCCACTTCCCAGGGCTGCTCTGCCTCCTTGCTCCTGGTTTCCCACAGCCATTGTCATTTCTCTCCTGGGATCCAAATCGCAGCCAGCATGCCCCTGGGGTTCCGTCATCCAGCGCTGTAACCTGCCACAGTACCTGACCACAGGCACATAACTTCCGTCATGCTGGATCATGCTGCCTCCATAAAGCCAACCAGGCCATTTCCCATGGTGCTGGGCCAAGCTGCACCTTCTCACTTGCTAAAACAAAGTTCGTTAAAAGTACACATCTCACACGCAATACCCACTGCCCTTAGGAATTAGTCCTTCACATTTTTCCATCTCAAGACCTTAACTCGATTATCTAGTCCCAGTTCCAAGATATTGCAGTTTCTGGGCATGCTCACTAAAAGGAAGGGATGAAAATAATTTCACAGCCAATCAGTTGAGGAGAAAAGAGAAGAGTTCTTTCAAGGATAGATTCCTTTGGTGCAGCCATGAGATTTCTCTTTATTTTTCAATCTTTTCTTCCCCTCTTCCCCCACTTCTTGTGTTTAAAAGTTAGGCCATCTTCCTCAGTTACCGATCTTGCAGCCAGAAAAGCCAGGGCTGCAGCCCTGTGACCCAGAAAAAGAACCTTCCCAGACACCCCCACCCCTGCAGCGGTCTCATCCTGGAGCAGCCTCCAGGCCTATTCCTGAGCCCTCCGTCTCACCTGCCCCAGGCCCTGGGGGCGCTCTGTGCTCACACCCAGGACCTGCCAGTCTCTGAGCCTGCACTGACTCAGGGGTCAGGCGGGCTGTGGATGGGCAGAACCCAAGCTGCAGAAGTTCTCTCTGCCCTGGAAATCACAGAGCCTGCGGGGCTTGGGCAGGCTTCTGCCTAAACTCACTGCACATTCAGACAAGGCCCTTCCCGACAGCAGGCCTAGGCGGCCGCAGCCAACAAGGAAGTCAGGAGCGGACTTGCCCTTCAGGAGCCTGCCAGAGTCCCTCTCCCCAGGGCACAGAGGAACTGGGGGATGAGGAAAGGCCTGGTAGAGCCATCCCCCTACCCCCTCTTCATGCAGGTGAGGAAACTAAGGCCCAGGAGCTTCGTGCCAGAACTGGAGTCAGAGCTGGGTCTGCTCCTAGTCCTGTCCTCTGACCCTGTCAGGAGTTGTGAAACTCTCACCAGCAGTAGAGAGTCAAATGGAAAGCATAAAGACACAGGTGGCTCAGTTCCATGGACCCTCGAGTTCCGCTCTCTACCAGCACGAAGCTAAGCCTTTTTCCCCTTCCACTCGGTATTTGTGGGCACATCTCCCACCTCTTTGCCCTTCTCAGCCACAATTCTTCTTCCCAAGAAACCACCATATTCTAAAGCTTGCATTGCGAACCCAGTTCTTTCTTCCTTCCCTGGAAACGTTGGCTGACGCTGTGACCTAAGCAATGGTTCCCAAAGACTCGAGGTTAGGTACCCGCAGAAAAGAGAATGCCCCTTTCCCTGAGAGGGAGCGTGACTGCCGTCAGCTCTTTGCACCTCCTGAGTTGGAACGGAAGCGTCCCAACAGCCCATCCCTGCACATTGTCTCGTCTCCAGCAGATGTTAGCTGCATTTGCTCCGAGACCCTTGGCAGTGCCCGTAACAGTGCCTCTGTCCTACACAGGCACAGGGGACGAGGAGCGAGCTGGCATCGACATGAGGAAGGCGAGGTCCTCCCCTAGAGGCACATTCCTATTCATCTTTCCGCTGCACACCTGGACCAGGCTTGCAGGCTGCCAGCAGTCACCGCACGCCAGGGAGAGGAGAGCCCAAGCCGGTGGGGAGTGGGAGGGCCCTCCCGATGCTGCTGTTGGTGGGCCTCCCCCTCGCACAGTCCTGCATGAACTAGCATCTTCATCACTCCCCTCGGGGTATGGTCTCATCTCTGCAACAGGAATTTACCGGGAAGTTGAAAAGAGAAAAGAAACAGCAGGAGTCTCCTGAGTGTGTGACCCGATGGAGTTCTTGCTGGTGTCTTGCCAGCACATGGGGTGCCCCCCAGGGTAGGGGCACAAGTTTCCTCCCTGCCTTTGACCTTTAAATACCAACAGGTTTTCTTCTCTCGTGCAAAGACAGCTTCAGGCCTTGCTCAGTTCTACAGACATTCACACCCTGGCCACAGTGCTAAAAATAGCCACCTTCCTTTCTCTCACACTAGTTAGCTTCCGCCCCGTTTGACGCCGCTGCTCTGCAGCCTTGGCGGGAAGGGGGAGCAGAGAGCTCAGCGCTGCAGCCCTGGGTGATTCCTCCTCCAGTGGCGCGAGGATTCTGTGCAGCGGTGCCAGGGGCTGCCGGGCAGGGAGCACTGACCCATGACCGCCAGAGGGAGCGCTAACCCCAGGGTGTTGTGCTCACGTGGCCTCGCCCCTTCTCAGAGTTGCATTCTGCTCTGCACACAGGATCATCAATCCCAATTCCCGGTGATTTTCATTTATTTTTTTCTCCTCCCTGGGCTGCAGGATGTTATTTTTAGGAGAAGAACTGCTATAAATATTTATAAAGGGTAGTGACTGGAATGAAGTGAGAGGCCCCACAGCTGGCTCTCACATCCCCCCAACACACACACCTCTGCAGACCCCTGCCCGCTGTCTGCCGAGGTCTGTGCAGAGCCAGTGGGCTCAACCCACAGGCATCCGTGAATAGAGTCCCATGGAAACTCCGTGAGGGAGCAGTCGGGTAAGAGAAGGGGTGGGGTTAACTCTGTCCATCCTTCCCTCTCCACATGCCTCTTCTGTCTCATTACTCCCATTTTTTTTTTTTAAGAGTTTATTTATTTTTTCCCCCCAAAGCCCCAGTAGATAGTTGTATGTCATAGTTGCACATCCTTCTAGTTGCTGTATGTGGGACGCGGCCTCAGCATGGCTGGAGAAGCGGTGCGTCGGTGCGCGCCCGGGATCCGAACCTGGGCTGCCAGCAGCGGAGCGCTCGCACTTAACCGCCAAGCCACGGGGCCGGCCCTCATTACTCCCATTTCTAACAGAGGTCAAGGCATTCTGTTACGCCCAGGTCCGCAGAGTCATAAGCACTAGGTATGAAGGGCAGGTAGCACTTGTATCGCTCCAGCTGTGTGAGAGCATGAAGGAAATGGGAGCGGGGAAGCTGGTTTCCCCTCAGGTGTAAGAATACACCCCTCCTAACCTCAGGAGAAGCCCATGCCTGGTGGAGGACTTGCCTCCCACAGCAGCTCCCGGGCACTGCCCAGGCCCACCCTGTGACCAGCACCAAGCGGAGGCCCCGGAGAGCCAGCAGGGGCTCTGGTCGAAGGAAAACACTGGTGAAAAGGAGCTCCCACACACTCAGGAAACGCGTATCCGGGCTTGTCTGGAGGCCAGAAGGGGCATGAGTGAGAGTAACCACGGGAAAGTTCTGGGGACACTCGGTGCCGACCAATGGTGAGATTCGGTGTGGGGCCCACAACAAGGTCCCGGAGATGATGACACTGTTGGGTGACTGTGTGCTTCCCTCCACAGTCCTGAGTGCTCACACTTTGTACCCTGCCCCTGAGGACAGGGCGGAATCCCACCTCCTGGTCCCTCACATGAACTGCTTGCTTCTTCCGGAGCAGAAAGAGCCAAAGGAACAGTCAGATTAAAAGCACCAATGGCTCCAGACAGCCAAATGCATGTTCTGCTGTGCACGTGGCGTTGGCAGTGTCTCCTGGGCCAGAGTGGGCCACCACTCTCCTCCTGGGAGGCTGCCGGGCCTGCAAGGCTGATCACTCAGCAGGTTCTCTCGCTGTCTGCTGGCCTCTGCAAAGGAGTAGCCTTACGGTCTTCAGCCCCAGGAGAGGCTCTGAACTCCTGACGTCTCGCCATTTACCAGCACCTGGGGGGTGATAAGGGGGCTGGAGAGAGCCGCAGGGATGAACTCAGGTGCCAGCATGGGGGTACATAGGGTGTTTGGTTTATATATAAATTTTTGTTGACAGTTCATTTCTTTTAGAGCTAGAATATCCACCATTAGCTCAGGCGGCTCCTGACTTCTTGACATCTGCTTTAGAACACAGGTCCATATCAGAAGCTTGAAGCTGAGTCCCTTTCCTCAACCCTGACCTGGAACAGAGGTGGTCATCCTATAGAGAGCACTTCCTTCTTAATTGCTGTATGACTATTTAGGAGTCTAATTTAAGTAGATGATCTTCTGAGAGAACTGACATATACTGTCAGTGTCACAGGCCCCCTGGGCTGGTGTTTTGTAGCTGTGAAGAACCGTAGAGAGGTCCTAAATGCATCCTGGGTCTTGAGGAAGTTGTGGCCCCAGCAAGCTCAGGTCCATAAATCCCATCCATGCTGAGGTTCCATTGACTTTCACAGCCCCTTCATCTGCTGGTTGCGCTTTCTCCACTGGCAGACTCCCCCTCTTCTGCATTGCTTACTCCCTGCTCCCTGTAGTCCGTGACAGCTTCAGAAAGGTACGTTGCTATGGCAATGCCTAGAGCTATCTGAATTCCTGCTGCACCTTCTGGAAGAAAAGGCCTCATGAAGAGCCATTTGGTAGATTCCAAATCTAGCCTTCCCTGGCCTCTGTCAGGGATCAGATGACTGTTACAGACTGCAAGTGTGGCAAGTAGGCAACCCATTCTTCCTTGAGAAGACACCCCTATAGCTGCAAGCCACATGCACCTGGACAGGTTCTCCATGTGTGGATCAGAAAACAGGTTTCCTACCCAGGGCTCTTAGATAAGATACAATACCAGTGGCTGTCAAACTTAGAATCCCTGGAGGGCTTGTTAATATATGGATAGCTGGGTCCCACTCCCAGAGTTTCTGATTCAGTAGCTCTGGGGTGGAGCTGGAGAATTTGCAATTCTAACAAGCTCTCAAGTGGTGTTGCTGCTGCTGTTTCAAAGACCACACTGTGAGGACCACTGTACACATTTATGAGAAGGAGAAAAGCATCCACGTGAACGCAAGAAGCCATCGCCAGTCAGGTGGGAAAGGGCCAGAGTCAGTTGTCTATTCTAGAGGAAGAAAAGGGGGGTGGGGGCTCTACAGTCCCATGGCCAGGGGCCCTGGGGAACATGTGCCAGGACTGGTGGTCCTACACTTTCTTTTTGGTCTCCAACAATCAATAAACAAAGACCTGCCCCCTAGACGTGAAGGAGGGGCAGCATCACCAGTGAAGCCTTGGACTTACGGAAGACCAACATCATGATGCCTAGTGGCTGAATGGGTCATGCACAGTCTCGAGTCTTAGTGGTGGGGGACGCCAACGGCCCGCCTGGCTCAGGAGAGAGAAGGGGTGTCACAGGCACCTAGCCCCCACTGTTGGCACTTCACCAAGATGCTTTCCCCAGAATGCAAATACTGTATTCCACACTAAACAATATCCAGGCCCCAGCTGGGCTGCTTACTTCCAGCCTACCTGAAGCTCCAACTCCTATGGGTATTATTCTCCTAAGAAAAAATGCTTACTAGAGGACTAAGATAAATGTTGCAGGCCTACCCAGTTATGAATAGCAAATGCCAGCGATTCTCACGCCTTCTCTGCACACTTAGCCCTGCCTGGAAAACCAGGTCACTGTAGTGGTGGGCTTGGTGTCTCTCCTGCCCCGGCGTATCTGCAAACAGGTGGAGCACACTGGCGCCATCTGCCCTCTGATTCCTACCCCAAGTCAAGACAGCTGGGGTAGGGCCATGGCGTAAAAGAAGTAGGCATCAAATCAGTTTACTGGTTCCAGAAAGCATTTAGTTTACCAGTTCTGTGATGGTTTGGATGGGTGGTGAGTGAAGAGGCAGACACCAGATAGCCATCCTTGTATTTCTGAAGTAAATGGAGCCTAGCACTACTAAAGGTAGAGATTAAGAAAGGACAAGTAGCCTAGGCTGGGACCGTCATTCATTCGAGAAGATACTTGAGCACTGACTATATACTGGGCACCAGACCCCTCCTCAGGTCTTCAGGATTCACTGAATGCAGGGCCTTAGGGGTTAAGGTTGAAGCCTGGTCTGAGTTCATGACTAGGGAGCGAGGGGTGGGCTTGGAGGAACTGCACTGCCCTCTGAAGCGCATCAGATTAGGGGGCGTGGGTGTAAACTGAGGCCACTGCAGGGGGGAAGAGAAATGGTCACTGCTCAGAGCTGGCTCTAGTCACTTAGAAGTATCAGTCTTTGGGCCCATGAATGTGAGAGGAGACTGGGAAGAGTTTCCCCACGAGTTTAAGGGTCATGGCTAATATACAGAAACCTTATAGCCCCTGGGGTCCAGGCTCACTGCCAACTCACTGATTATGAGTTAATTATAATTCATAATCAATTATAGCCTGAATCCCCTTCAGCCCCAGCAAGAGTCCTCAACCAGATAACAGAAAAACTTGTTAGGATGTTGACCTACAGCCATTGCCACACCTCCCAATCGGAGTTCAGAGGCCTGTGGCCTGTGGGAGGGTGACGGGGCAGACACACTCCACCCAGTTTAGGTGAGGGGCACAGTGAGTCCTCAGTGTGTGAACACACACGAACACACACCAGTGGGGGCCTCTGGCTTGTACAGTTTAGGCCACAGGTGCTTAGGGCTTTCCTGGAGGAGAGCAAAGCCTTACACTCAGCACCTGACTCTTGGAGCTGCGGGGGCATCAACACCAGCAGGCCTCAAGATCGCCTGTACACCGTGGGCTTTTCGTTCAGGTCCCAGCTCATGGGTCATGCTATCTCCACCATGGCCTGGTTCCAAGACCTTTGTCACTTGTCACTTAGTCTCTTTCCCTCCCCACCAGAGATGACATCCTTGCATACTAGGCATCCATCCCCTAACAGGAAGAATTCAGTCTGGGGCCTGGATCCAAAGCCTCTAGAAGTCCTCCCCACCCACAGCTCCTCAAATCCCTCAGGCCTGGTAGTCAGGGCCCCATCCTCATGCTCCCTTGGAGAGCAGGCCCTATGGCTCCTCCCT